ACGATAAAATGAACCATTTGTTTATCTACTCTGCAATGGTATAAAAAAATGAAAGTTTTTTCATGCAAGGTAAATATAGATAAGAACTGATAAACCCTGAACTGATCTAGATCAGACTCATTATGTCAGTTAAGTCATAGCTGAATCAGAATTGAGCTCTTTTAAACAAAGAAAAGGACCTTAATCTTATTCGAATTTCTTCCTCGAATTCTTCGAATTCTCCTTTTGAATCATCTTTTTAAATTGTCATTGGTGAATATTTGGTTTTATTTATATCCTTAAAATATTGAATGTACAATATACCTTATATATGTATAGGTACTTTTTTATTTTTTCTTTACGAAATTATTACTTCATTTTGAAAACATTTATATTTTTAAAACGTGACAAATATTTGTAAAACCTTTTCCAAGCGACATTAATCTCAATGAGCCGCAGTTGTGCCGATAGAAACTGCAAAATTGAATAAAAGAGGGGAAAAAAACCAAGAAGTACGCAATCTTTAGTTTTAACCCATTTGTACATCGATCTTTCAGAGTCAAATACGTCAAATTTTGAGTGTTTCGTTGCGCGTACACCTCGCTGCAGCACAATAAAAGCACAAAATGTAAAAGAAAAAAATTAAAGTGCTTTGGAAATCATTAAATTTGACACGGAACCATCAATATTTAAAAAACACACATTATATTATTATTCTCCTTTGATAAGTTGATACACATTTTTTTTCCATCAGTTTAAATGAGAATAATCAATGCACAGTGTGCTAACTTTTCAAAATCATGAGTTAAAAAACGCTGACTATGCGAGTAGAAATATTAAAGCCGAACAGAGTGGAGCGGCGTGCTGCCAGCGCGAGAGGCTCACTGGCGCCTACAAACCTAAGTGGATACTTCACGCATTGCGCAATGCTTGAAGTATCCACTTAGGTTTGTAGGCGCCAATGCGCGTTTAGCGCTAGCCGCCCGCCCGCCGCCGTGCAGCGGCGCCTGAAGCAACTATTTCACAACAGAGGTGTTGCACAGTATTATACGAAATTGAACGTATTAAGAATGACAGGCATCCTTTAAAAGTACAGATCTTTCCTCGCAAAATAAAGCAAGATAGTTATCGTACACAGGAAAAATCTAAGAGCCTTTAGTTGAGGCAAATGTAGAGGTTTATCCGGTTCAGGTATAACAAGGTGGGAATTTCTTGAAAGATAATTGAGTCCTGTTACACCAAAGAGGTGTAGAGAGTTTTAGTGAATTTTGTCTCATGGAATTGACGCTCTCCCCATTTTTACCAAAACTCTCTACTATATATTATTCTCCGTTGGACCAAACGTACAAAATAAAAAAACAAGCAAACCCTCATTCTTCCAAGACAATATATATTTTCATCCAAAAACGTCGTGAGCAATTGTCGTTTGTATTAACACGTAAGCCAATTACCTTAGGGTCTCAACTGGCACGTGGACCAAAACTCCCGTGCCGAAAAAAACAGGACTGGAAAAAACAGGTGCGCGGACAAAAAATCGTTGACGAAATGTCCTATAACCGGGAATTTCGTCAAAACGTGTCAGGGAAGTCAGGGAAATGCCAAAGAATTTCATTTTCTAAATTCGGTCAATCCTGACTTTGGGGCATTCATTTTGATCGGTATAATACTAAATATTATTCATGCTGGCACTCTAACGCTTTGACCTTTTTGGTCGTGGATTCGAAAGAGGGCGTTGCTCTTTTTTTTTCTTTTTTTTTTTATGAGGGGGAGGAGAAGGATCTGTTCTCTGTGCTGATTATTCATAAAATTCTTAGCCTCTAATTGGAAGATACATGATATATCCTTGATTTCTAAGAAGCCAATTCGTTGATATTATTCTGACGTCACCAGGATCTTTGCTTACATCATCGAGGAGCAATTTTTCTCTTTTAAGAGCGACTTCCTGTGGCGGCTGTTGTCTTGATACCGACCTCAAGTCATTTTTTTGTGTGGAAAAATCTCATGGGTCTTCTTTTTTTTTCCTGCTCCACGATTTTTCTTTTCGAGGCGGTGTTTATTTTCTCCTACAAGTATCTTAAAAACTTCTTCAGTAAAATTGAGTCATGCACCTCTGACGATCCTTAACAAACTATGAAATTACCAAAAGCAATCGAATCAATAGCTTTGCAAATATTTCCAAAGCAAGAGCAGCAGATATCCGAACGAACGCGGTCAGTTTTGACCTTTCTTTGATTGTTCTCAAATATTGAATCACGCTGAGCCCACGATTGCCGAATGCGCCTGGCGCTCTCAGCATTGGCGGATCCAGCAAATTGGCAACACTGTTATTCTCCATTTAAACCTATGGAAATGTATCGATTCTTGGAGGGGCCAGGTGCCCCGACAAGAATCGATTATTTAACATATGGTCAAATTGAGGGAATCCGTTGTTGCCAAATTGCTGGATCCGCCCCTGGCTCTCAGTTTCAGTGGCCTGGCGTGTTTTGCGATATATCGATTGATCTGCCGTTTAAACTCATGGAAAAGGATCGATAGACAGGGTGCTCGCGACGAACACCTTAATAATCGATTCTTTGTCATAGCGTCAAACGGGGAAATATCAATAATCGATCATTCACCCCCGCCACTGCTCAGTTTTGCGTATTTCTTTTTCTTGTCCTCTCCGGCCTCCGGCTCTGACATTCCTCTCCTAACGAAGCAATTGTTCTGCTTCTTCGCAGCCATCAGGACACTGCATGGAAGTCTCTCCAGATCCATTTAAGCCGTTCCCCCGCCCGCAGGGTTCTTCATTTCCGGTTTCGTGTAGTAGTCTCGTAATGACGATTAAGCGAAGAGTTTTTTTACAGAATGAAAAATTGCCCTTTTACAAATTTTAAGGTAGATTTGTCTTTGTATTTGAAATTTGTCAAAATCTTATTATTTTCATTGTATAATCGGCCTGAGACTCAGATCCGCCGGGTGTCACACTGGAAAAAAAAACACATTGGATCTAGAGTCCAGACTCTTAAAAACATCGACAAGAAAAAATATTCTTGATTCAATCAGATTTAAGCTTAAATCAAGAACCAAGCCTTTTAATTTGAGCGGATTTCCTTTTGATTTAAGTTTAAATCTGATTGAATCGAGAGTCCTTTGTCTTGTCAATGTTTTCAACAGTCTGGACTCTAGATCCAATGTGTTTTTTTTTTTCCAGTGCAGCGGGCTGATTGTTGAAAGACCAAGCAACAGACAAAGAAGACTTAAAGAGTATGGAGCGATCCTATTGGTTGCAATGAGTGGTTCTTAAAGACTGAGGGAGAAAATGATAGACTAACTATAGGATCTCCCGTGGGTAGCTGTTGGTTGGTCTATTACTTACCTCCTTTGTCCATTGCAACCACCCGCTTACACCGATAGGATCCCTCCGGTGGCGTAATTAGGAATCTTCGCGCGCCCCCGCCGATCTGAGGCTACGCCCTTTCATATAAGAAGTTTTGAGCGGCGAACCCCCTCTCCCCCTGCCCGTCTAGTCATTCAGATCTGAATAAATGGGAGAAAATTAAGGTATCACCATGAGAATAGAAAGAAAAGTGAAGAGGAAATTTAAGTCCTTAAAAAGTATGAACAAATGTGAAACTTGCATGAACCCATCACAGTCACCCGTGGGAGTGTTAAGTATTTGTTCTCCTTGCTTTCCTCTTTCTTCATCTTTTCTGCCTCTCTCTCTCCCTCTCTTTCTTCTTTCTTTTCTTTATTTTCTTTTTCTTTTTCTCCTTCTTTTCCCCGTTTTTTCCCCCCAACATTTTGCGCCCCTCGCATCGCTGCGCCTCCCCGCCCGGCGGTGGCGGCAGGTATGGTATAGTTACGCCACTGGATGGATCCCTCCATACCCTTTTTGTCTCCTTTGTCCATCGCTATGTCTACCAATTTCAGCAATCAGCCCGCAGATCCGGCCTCCCGGTGCAAGGAGTGCAGCCTGCAGTGTCTGCCCCGTCCCATCCGGTCTTGGGATGATCCAGACGTTGGTTGGAGGTTCTAGTTCGTTGAGTCTTATTAATTTTACTCGTCAGCCGGCGCGCGCTGCCATCAAATCGCGGTTTTACGACCCGAGCGCGGCACCCGCTCCGCGTGACTCATCCGGTCAACGGGAACACTGCCGTGCTAAGGAAGAACACCGTATGAACATTCGAGGGTTGCCAAATTTCCTTTGAAAAAATGTTTATTTTTTAGGAGAGTTATGAATATTTTTCCTCGAAATTTTTAGGAACTTAAGAACCAAATACGAACAAAATTCTCCGAAAAATTGAAAGGAAAATGTTCATATGCTTACCAGGGAATTCACGTTTTATCAAAGAATATTTGGCAACGCCTGCAGGTTCATATGGCGTTTTTCCTTATCACGGCAGTATTTAGCGCGTAAGTACGGCTTCCGCGGCCAGGTTTTTGGCGCGTATACGTAGTATACCGCCTTTGCGATCGTTTCGACCCCCCCCTCGATACAATAACCGAGTCCCCTAGTTCCTTACCGAAAAGTGACTACCGCGAACTTCTGAGATTTTCCAAAGCGTGTAAAAAGTTTACTAATCCGTCAATAATNCAAGTGTGTGGTTGGACATCTTCTCCGGAGCGAAAAGCCTTTAAGACTTTTTGGGTCTGTTTTCGGCCCACATTTTTTAACGTCATCGCTTTTTCCTAATGGTTCCTTAGAAAACCTGACACCAGTCATTTATTAAGCAGCCACATCTCAAGATATCATGAAAAAAATTAAATTTCTGACTTAGCAATTCGATTGCTAAAAAAAGTAACTGCAACGTTTCAACGTATATCTTCGAAGAAAAAAATGCTACTTTAACTACTATTGTAAGCTAATTTAACTACGGGGGTGGTTGAAGTAGCATTTTTTTGTTGTAAAATCTACATTGAAACATTGCAGTCACTTTTTTAACAATTGAATTGTTAAATCATAAATTTAATTTTTTCCGTGATGATTTTAATGAAATTCCCGATTTCATTCTAAAATGTTGGCTGTTGGTTTGTTTCAGCGTTAACGGAGACGACATCCATTGTTTCGAGGTATACGTGTCAAAGAGTCGGCCTCACATGTTCGGGGCCTTGTGCACGACCGAGAGGCGAGTCTGGATGCAGAAGATACTTGAGTGTTTCACCACCGCCTTCCCTCTCAACTATAGCGTCGAATTCATCCGGGCTGGCTGGTGTTATCTCAAGGTAAGCTGAGCACCATCAATTCGAACCTCTATTCTGCCATGCTAAGGAAGAAAGCACTGGAAAAAAAAAGTCGCTTGGATTTAGAGTCCAGACTCTTGAAAACAACGACAAGAAAAAATACTCTTGATTCAATCGGAATTTTGCTTAAATCGAGAACCAAGCCTCTTAATTTAAGCGGATATCCATTTGATTTAAGCAAAAATCCGATTGAATCAAGAGTGTTTTTTCTTGTCATTGTTTTCAAGAGTTTGGACTTTATATCCTAGCTACTTTTGTTTCCAGTGAGCCGTATGAGCTCTCAGGCGTTGCTAAATTTCCTGTGATAAAGTATGAATTTCTTGGTAAGCTCATGAATATTTTTCTTCCAGTTTTATAGTAAATTGTGTTTGCAAATTCACCTAAATTGGCAGAAAATTTCAAGGTAAAATATTAATAACTTTCCTCGGTAATAAACATTTTATCGAAGGAAATTTGGCAACTCTAGAATGTTCATACGGCGTTTTCCCTTAGCACGGTTAAGTGTTACAAGCCGAACCTTGAGTCACGCTTTTGCCAGGAGAAGTTCCTTCAATTGACTAAGTAGGCAAATTTGATTACAATGAACAAAAATTCATTAACTAAGTATCAATAATTATCATGATGAAAATCAACATCGAGGCCGCTGTCCGCTTGTTCGCAGTCTTTATCAAGATAACGGAGGCCACCATTCAACAACAAATGACGAAGTTACGGAAACCGATTAGCCGGGTCAAATTCCTTCAAATGATAGGGTAGGCAAAATTAATCACTCATAAGGAGCAATAGTTGTATTCTCGATTTTGCCCTTTTTATTATCAATCCTCCCAGTTTGGAGTGTGTACCGTGTTTGATAGCAAGATTAGATTTTTAAGTGTACATGTGATCAGAGTTTCACGAGATTGTTGCAATTATACTTTAATGCTACCGGGGCCTGTTTTCCAAGCACATGATTCATGACATTTACTTTCGGCGAGCAGACAGCAAAATCACTCTGACTCAACTTAAATTTTTGGAAAAAGCAGTGGCGTAGACAAAGGGGGCGGGGTCTAGGGGGTCTGGACCCCCCCTCCCTCTTAGCCTCGTTTAATTTACCTTTTTTTTTACTTTTGGAGGGCAGACATAATATATTATCAGGAACGTACACAAAATAATTTAAATGGATCTCCTCCCCCTTTAAAGAATTCCCAGCTACGCCTCTGGCAAAAAGTATTCTCGGTCTATCAACCTGGAAATAACAAACCTGAAAGTCATTCAAACATTCTCGATGTTCTTTTTTTATTTTGCAGGAAGGGGTCAGTGGCGACTGGGCGAGCGCCTGGATTTTGTTAAGTAAACGAACTCTAGTCTACAAACTGGGCAAAGGCAGCATTTGTGAAGTGGATCTCCGAAAAGCAAGATGCATAAGTAAGTATACTCATCCTTTTAAGGGTTACTAATAACTTTTTGAACACCTCCAATTTTATTTCTATTTTTTTTTGTCTACAAGCTGCAGTATAAGCATGAAGAATTGACTTCCCTTCAAAAATTCTCCGAAAAACTGTAGCTATTGCTATTTGTGAATAATTGTTTTAATATCCTTAAAATCTAACTCTTTCTAAAGCGCGAAATATTACTTGTGTTTATTTCGACCCTGAAGCAGATTTATTTTTATTCTCATTCAGATACAAAGGCCATTCTGAACTTTATCGTGAACATCCATCATTAGGTGTTTCATTGATACTTACAGGGTCACTAATATATCAGTAATAAAAGATAAAATAAAATATAAATAAAACGGAAGGTTATTACCAATTGGTGCTGTCAATTTTATCATCGACGTATTTGAGAGTCTGAGCATAAAAACTGAAGACCTGGCAATGGACTGCTTGCAGTCTGAGATGGTCATCAGCAGAATAATTAGAAAAAAATTATAAACAGCTAGCTTTGAGATCGGGACTCAAAGATGCCTCTTCATGAACTGGACCGCGTTTAGCAGAAAGGAACTAAAACACATCAGCTATGGCTAAACTTTGGGAAATTTAATTTTTTACAAGATAATTTTTCTGCGGATCCCTTCTGCGGAATAGTCAATTTTGTACTATGCTGAAAATGTACTGAAATTTGCACAAAAATCCGCACAGCCGTTTTTATGTAAAAATTGAAATTTCCCCATTGAATTTGGCAATAACTGATGTGGCTTGATTCCTTTCTGCTTAACGTGGTCCAATTAGAAGGCTCAATGAAGTCAAGTTACCCAATCAGCTCTTTTGAAGCTCTATCGTTTTGGTTAAAAACAAGGTGTAGACTGGTTCAAATGAGGAGCTTGCAGAACAAGGCGCATAAATGCAGTTTTTGAAAAAATTGAGATATTAATGATTTCAAGTAAAACTAGTCCTAATGCATATCCTGTGAAAAATTCGCTCCTGAATTCCAATTTTCAAGCATCAAAAAGTTAGTTTGAACTTTCTCTCCGCCATAAGGATCCTTGTAATTTCGAAACTTCCATTACTTAAAATAGCAAAAACTGCACTTATGCGCCTTGTCCTCCAAGCCCCTCAAATGTTCTTTTCCTGGAGTTTCGAGTTTCTCTTGAAAGTCAGGAATATTCCCAACGCTAGCCATCAATAATTTTCTAAACAAATGTCTTTTTAAATTCTTTTTTAGTGCTTCAAGATGAGAGTGAAGGAACTGAAAGACTGACTGTATCAGAACCAGGGCCTACGCTTTTGATCGATGCTCAAACTGTGTCCCTCTACCTACTCATGGACACAGATGCTGAAACAAACGCATGGAAACACGTCATCCGCACAGCAGCTGTAGACAACGGACCTCATCTAGCCGATCAGCAATTGACGAAAGATGAAATACCAACCATCATAGACAAATGTATCAATTTTATTTATGCCCACGGTAAGTTTGGTCTTTGTTGGAAACAAACGTCTTGCTCAAATTTTTAAAATTCTGAAGCGGACATCCTTATTAACTTCTATTTGATCTTTTTAGTATATTTTTGGAAGAAAAAACACTTTTGCGGTTTTTCTTGTTATTTTTTGAAGAGAGATGATGAAAGAAAAATAATACTCTTCAAGGTCGATGGAGTAAATAATAAGAGGAAATGGAGCTTTAATACCTTTTTTCCGTTTATTTTTCCTACGAGGCCTTTTGATTGCATAGAATCATCATCAGGCAGTACACCATATATCACATCATATTAAACACAAACATCAAGCGCAAAGGTGTCAAGGCTACATTTTCTCTTATTATTTATAAATATAAGATACCTCTATGAAGCTCTGCAGCTGATGGAGTAAACGAACTCCAAATAGTCATTTTTCAGACAAAAACTTGATCTAAGTTTTACATTAGTTGTCCAAAAAGTTTCGTGAACACAATAAAGCAAAAAATAATATCAGCAGGAGGATCCAATGGTTGTTTTTTATTTATTTTGAACCGTAAAAAATTTCCACAAAGGTTAAAATCTTTAAGTCTGGTACAAAGGGAATGACCAGTCTTTCCCACTGTGCGCCTTTGTTCTGCAACACAAATTCTATGTTTAATACGTTGCGTTGCACGACACACTGAAGTCAACTCTTGGTAGATTAATGTCTCTGAACCAAAGGCACTGAGTGCAAACTTTTGGCTAAAAATATTTTGAACCCATCTGTAGAGTTTTCTCAATTTCTCATCAAATATTATCTTTTTTATGGTGTTTTTCTAGCACCGTGGAAGCAGACGTATAAAATAACATATGTAGACGAGGTATCAAGACTTCTTACTTTTTAAACTGGTCTTCAAGGCATTTATTTGAAAGGAAGATGAAAAGAAATCATTGATCGAAGTATCATTGTAATCTCTCAAATGGACGTATTTCTGTCAAACGGAACTAAGCGCCAATTTGAGTTCCTTTTGAGGAATTTAGAATCCCCGATAGCACATTCTGTCAAACGGAACCAAGCGCCATGGAAAAGCACTGCGAGTATAGGAACAAATGAGCCCAATGCGCGGTTTCACCGCCAATCCAAGCCCCCCTCTACCTTTCTACCCCGATGGCGCTTCCATTTGACAGAAATACGTCCAAATTATCGTAAAATAGATCATTCTAATTCCCAGAATCAACTGGATCTGCTTTTTTATCTGGTTTCTTTTCTTTTCTCCTTCCTCAAATGTGTTTTCGATGATTCTTTCCTGATTCTTACCTACTGCTCGATTTATGATTTTTACTCAATTTTTATCTTTGCAGGCAGTTTATCTGAAGGGATCTACCGACGTAGTGGGAGCAGTACTAACATAACAAAGCTGCTTGCACAATTTAGACAAGATGCATGGGGTGTCCAGCTAAGTCGGCAAGAATACTCCGAGTACGATGTTGCTGGAGTATTGAAGCGATTCTTTCGAGACCTACCAGAACCTCTTTTGTCCAATCAGCTTCACAAGTTCCTCTGTAGTGCTACTGGTAACTATTTTTTTCGAAGGAAAATTAGAGTTTAATTGTAACTGGAAAAATGCTACAATGAAAAATACCTGGACAATACTTGAAAAAATGAACGTCTTCTCTGGAAAAACGTTATTTTAAGATATTCCAAAACAAGGTACTCGGCAGCTATGAGTACAGTGAGGGAACCAGACCCCTTTCAAATGAATATTTCCACTCTTTTATAGACGTTGCCCATGAGAGTCGAAAGTCATAAAACCCAACAAATGGCACTTCTTGCTCTATCTTTCTCAAGGAAAAAATACCGTTTGTGACAATGTTAAAAAGGATATACAATATTCGATGCATGGAATTTATGATCTTCAATCATTAAGATTTAACTTTTCACTGCCCTAAAAATTCAAAAATAAAGCTAGATTTATGAAAAGTGAGTGTACAGTGGGTCTAATTTCAGTAGATGGAACTACGCTAGAGTTTCTGTGTCAAAATTGATTTGTCGCCAACCGCAGGTACTTACGTCTTTAAAAAGTTGTAGTTATAAAAGAGCAAACACTTTTCTCAAATTTGATTTGCCATTTTTAGTCTCTGATGTATAGATTTTAAAAATTCACTTTATGGATGACCCTTGTATCAATTTTCATGTCTATGGCTGAAGTGGGAAATGATGTATCCCAATTGCAATGTTTCAACATTTTCGCCCCTATTCTATTTTTTTGAGGAGAAACAAGCCTGGCAACAACAAACAAACAAACCAACAAAAAAGTCAAGGAAGTTTTCAAAAAATTATGCTGACCAGTTATCAGGAAAAAAAAATAAAGTATGATAGGAAGTCTGCATCATGGCCAACAGAAATACATGGTTTTGCCCTTTGGCCATCGATATTGTTTTGTGTGTTCAGCGTATCCAGACACAACTTCAGGAATAATGCAAAAACAATTTATATTAATCTGTAGGTGTTTACACAATGTTTTATTCTTTATCTAAAATGTATAAGAATTCCCAGTAGTGTTCATCGCTTGAGTTTGTATGTTTATTGACAGTTTCCTTCTAAATTTCAGGTGTTGATTGTAGCGAGGAGGAGAAAGTGGCCATGTACCGTAGTCTTTTAGAAAAATTAGCACCTGTGAATTATGTAACAACCCGCAGACTGATAAGCCATCTACATTCCATTCATCTTCAGCAAGAGAGAAATCTCATGCCTGCTGATAATTTAGCAGCAATTTGGGGACCTACGCTTATGCATGTTGAAGTAAGCTACTTTGTCCTCAAGTCAAATCATATTCTCAGATTTGTTCATTGAACTGTGCTCCAGAATCCAAAGTATTCATTCATCAAATCCTCCAACTTCATTGATATTGAAATTCAAAGAAGGTTTGGTTGTGAAGGCACATGGTGAAGGCCTGGTGAAAAACTGCATGTCCCGTCAGATATCGCAATGCTATAAGTTATAACTCCTTAAATGTACATCAAAGGTTTGTCGGATGAAGGAAAGATTTGTAGTTTCTTCCTCTGATGTACCTTTTTTGGGTATTTCAAAGTCAGAATGTCTTGAAATTTAATTGAACCATTCTGCTGTGCTGAGAAAAAACGCCGTATGATCATTCGATATTTGCCGAATTGCCCCGGATAAAACATGTATTTTTCAAGAAAATTATGCGTATTTTTCTTTGAAATTTTCAGAAATTTTAGATAAATTTGTGAACAAAATTGTCTGGAAAAATTGAAGAAAAATATTAACGATTTTCTTAGTAAATCAGGTTTTCATTGAAGGAAATATGGCAGCGTCTGAAGGTTCATACGGCATTTGTCCTTAGCACAGAAGCACGCATTGCTACGGAAAAACGCCGTATAAATATTCAAACGTTGCCAAATTTCCCCTGATCAAAAATGTATTGTAGAAGAAAGTCATTTTTCCTCGAAATTTTCAGATATTTAGATTGAATTGCGATCAAAATTTTCTGGAAAATTAGAAGAAAAATATTTACAACTTTCTTAGTATAGTCATAATTTGTCAAGGGAAATTTGGAAACGTCTTATTGTTCACAGGGCGTTTTTTCTCAGTACAGTGGTGTGAGACACAAAATCTTTATTAGGGATCTTCTTTTAGAGAAGATCATGATTGGATACCAATCATCAATTTCTGATGTATCAAGGCTGCCATTTCGTACAATGAACTAAGCAAAAAAATGCGTGTACGTCAGGTGAAGATTGAAAATCAAACTCCTAGGCCATGTGTTAAAATTGTCCCTAACAACGATGAATATATAACAACTACCACTTTTAAAGTAAGAGAGATTCAGTAAATTTTCTTGATTTAAACCATGCTCAAGTTAGATGATTTGTAATTTTGTGCCAGTTTAAAACTTAACACACCTGCTTGCTTTTTAACTCTATTCTGCGAATTCGTTCCGCAGAGATCAGCTTTTTAAAAGAGTTGGACTTTGCGGAACACAAACATTACTAGTCTGCAGTGGATAATTTTCCTTTTTGCTTGTATATTCTTACAAATCATCAAAGTAAGATTGTGATCTCTATATGAGGTTTCATTTTCATCAGAAATTTTTATCAAAATATTTGATCTCGGAAGAGAAGTTTTCAAAATCTTATATCTAACTGTGGTTTGTTTCTTCCTTACTATTTTGCCCTCCTGTTTCATCAGCAGATGAAAGGTATGTGCTGAATTTAACAATGCATTTCTTTATACCCACACCAGTAGTACCTTCAAAAGGGAGTTAATTTTTGCACCAATATCTGTCTTATTATAAATGATCTAAGTGCCCTCCTACATTCATTGCAAAAACTTATCGTAAGAATGAAACTTTCATTTACGAAAGATCACTTCAATTGAAGTACAAATTTGGGAAAATATTAGATGGAAATTAGCAGGAAGTTAATTTGGAAGAACCTCTTACACAGTATGATAGTCTTCTAGATGAATGAACCCATCTCGGTCGCTGTTTTTCAGGATCTCTTATGGACGATTTATTTTTTTTATAGAAAAACCATCAAATGGGTTTTTCTAAAATTTCCGTTGATTTTTCTTTATATATAAGACGAGACACCAAAATTTTTAAATCAATTTGTGCGAGGGTTAGCTCATGAGAGGAGAAAACGTTTATATAGAAATACTAAAACAGTGCAGACAAGGTACGTTCCTTCATGGGGGAGACCGCAATACCTACAAAGAATGTTTTAATTTTAAAAATAATTTATTGCCTGTAAGTCTGCTGTTTTACTTTCTCCAAACATTTTTACCAGTCAATTCAGATTATTGTCTTTCACAGGAAAGCTTCCAGTATTCTAAAGTTAATCTTCCGCGTTCTTTAAAAGTTAGAAATCTGCTTTTACAAATTTTAAGTAAAAAATATTCCTGTCATTTTCTTTGACCAACTAATTTTATCTATCATTATTTTCCATTTTCAGTCAAATGAAGTTCAAGAGTGGTTCAAACGAGAATCAGAGGTTGTCTGTGATCTTATAACTCTTTACCCGAAGTTGTTTGATGTGGATGGCGATGAGTTGGACCGAGAACGGAGGATGATGGAAGTGCTGGAACGGTATCATGATACGCCACAAAGACAAAACAGGCCATCCGGCGATCTCAAAGTGTGGATTTATATCAATGGCAAAGACAGTGGTAGCTGTGTCAATGTTACGGTAAGCATGTTCACAATTTTCTCCCATCTCTTATTCTCCCATCTACGAGATCAAATATTCTAAGATATTCCAAGATATTCTAAGGCTGAGATTGCAACTGATTTTTGTTCTGAAGAACTGTCTTAACCCCGAAATTGTTGAGTCTTTACCTCCTTGGCACTGTCTCAGTGTTGGTATCATTACAAATTGGGCCTTCTCTCATGAATTTTTCTCATCCTCAAAACCTAACAACAGAATAAAACTCTGTTATTTCCAGTATCCTGGATCTTTTTTTTTGGAAGTCAGCTTTATGGTTTTACAAGAAAAAACACCAAAAATGCAGCCGGAACTGTATGAAAAAAGGTGAGAAAATAGTGCTGGGTTCGCAATATTTTGCGGGGAAAGCAAGGCCAATACATATTAAAATTTTTGGAATTTATTTGCCTTAATTTCCTTGCAAAGTAATGTAGACCCAGCACTATTTTACCTCCTTGCTACCTAATGGTTATAGTATTCGTCATTTTCTCTCAGCATTTAAACAATTTTAGTTGGTATCTCAAAGTAGAGTTCTGAGTTCTAGTAACTTACAAGTTTTGCATTAAGGTGAGAAACAAAATTTCAATACTTCTAGGTCGTTTTTAAGATCATTCCTTCAAACAGAGTTGAAGAACGTAAACATTTGCACAAATCCTTCCTCATTTAACTTACTTTAAATTACTGGTCAACCGCGACTTTAACAAGTATGACATAAAATTTAGAAAGGGCAAATTACTAGTTCCTTGTTCTGTCTAGTTGTGTCAAAAGGGCTGGAACATTTTGATTGATTTATGAATTTTGCATCCTTAATAATTCAGATTGAGCCAACCAAAGATGCAAATACCATCTGCACTCAGTTAGCAGACCGCGTCGGTTTGCGGCCGGAGCATTTGTGTCTGATCGAAGTTATTTGCGATGGTGCAATGCAAAGACCACTGCATCACACAGAGAAAGTATTGGATGTAGTGCTCCGCTGGGGTTATTGGGATGAAGCTGACCGACGCGCCAATTATCTTGTCATCACGAAAAATGAGCTGTTTCAAGAAATCGTTCCTTTGGTAAGTCAACATCTCATCCTTAAATAGTTAATTTATCGAAGTATTCTGATTCATGAAAAGCAGAATTTTGGAAGTTTTTCAGCAGTAAAATTATTTAATTGCTCTATTCATGAATTGTTCAGAAATTTCGCCTCTTCACTGTTTTAAAAAAATAAGCCAGCCTTCACGTTGCAGTGGTCAAGGCAGTTTGCTACGAGCACCAAGATCACAGTGAATCATCCAGTTTATACTCTCCCATACCAAGTCTGCAAAACTTTCGTTTAACTGATGGAATTTTAATACTGTTTTTATAATGTTCTAGGCTAAGCCACCTCTTGCCATGTGTGGTGAACTGCGGTTCGCTGACACAAAATCTAAATCTTTCAAAAGTTACCTCTTCGAATTTAGTCAAGCCAGGCTTTGTTATTACAAGGATAAGAGGGTGAGTACTTAACTGTCTTTTTTTGCTGTTGATGTTAACTTTTTTTGAGAATTTGGTCGTTTTGATTGCCTAATTTTTCAACCAAACTTTGACCAGGAGATGTAGATGCTCCTTTCCTTAGTATTCTTAAATTGTTACAAATAAATTGCGAGATGAGACAATGGACCACCAGACAAAGTCAGAATGAGAAAAAAAAATCACATGTTTTCTTCTCAAAATCTTAGGTAGAGTAACAGTTCACACGATGGGAAGTTTGGGGATTAACTCTTAAATGGGATACATATTAATAAGTATTTTAAAGAAAGATCAACTGAAAGTTGGATTACTCAACAAGTGGAGATATAGCGAGCCACTATTTGAACCCCTTATGTGGTGTCATGCGACGTTGAAGGAAAATCTTAGCTTTTGCAAGTCTCAAGTTACTGTTGTTTATGAATGTTATGTTCGCATCAATATGAAAATCCGGTATTTTCCCCATATTGAGGTGAAAATTGTGTGATCTTGCATGTTTCTAATCAACCGCTGGAACGTATTTGTGTAAGTGCTGCAATATTGAGGTGAATAACGCGTAATTTATAATGATTTTAAAAAACCATGGGAAAAATTGTGTATTTGCAGCGAGGTTCAGGTGATTATTGCGTATTTTCTCATCTTTTTACAAAATCTCTGGATAAAATCATGCACTTCACACACAATACGGAGTGCTGAAAAGTGCGTAATTTTTTAGAATTCAACGTTGCATACTTTTCATGATATTGAGATGAACTTTGCATGATTTCTTACTTTTTAAATGATATCAGTTGTATTTTTCTCATTCAATCATTGTTGATTTTTTACACTTACAGCTTGTTTAGAGGTGGATTTCCAGCTTCCTGTTGTGTGAATTATTTTCTTCGTGAAAATTAGAAAAGAAAAAAGTATGTGTCAAGTGTTAATTATATACCACAAGTAGAGGCCTATTACTTGTTGCAATGATCCAAAGCTATTTTTCAAGGTTTTGCTTTAAATATTTAATGAGCCCTCTAAAATTGATTGCTTGTGGAAGCTCTTGTATCAAAACTAGTACCATCAAGTAGACCAGCTGAAAGTCTCTTATAGATTTTACATTGAGAATTATCTAAATTGAATAAAAATCTCCTTAGCGAGCAATTTGCTATTTGCTAATGAAAGGATTCCTTTTTTTTTAAAAATTTAATTCGATCTCTCGAGAAATTCAGATAGTTATTTTTAGCCTGTCTCTGTCGATGGAGATTTTTTTGATTTTTCCAATTCCTCCTCTGTGATTTTTGAATTGCATTTTTTTTCTCTCTCGCAGGGTTCAGTCAAACTAAATGAGTGGCGAATTGAAGACATTGTCTGGTACATAGGTTATGAACCGAAGCGTAATCCCCACACTAGGTAATTAAACAATACACCTGACTTTCATTTAAAATGTTCACTTACCTCCGGTCATTGTGACTTTTTTTGTCAGTCCAGCAGGACTTAAACAGTCGTAGTGGCAAATATTTCAAACGGCGTGTTTTCATTACATTGCTGTGCGAATGAGGCATGGTCTGCAGGTCCCATAAAAAACTAATTGTAATGCAACAATTATCTTCATAACTAATAGAATGTGTTAGCATTGCAGCAATTGGTGGAAACTGTCGCTTGGAGCGTTCAAATTCCATTACTTTCACAAATTTTCCGGTGCAATACCCAAGTAGCAGTGATCGGGTAAATAACAATTTCATCGGTTGATTATCGCGATTATATTGGTGGCAATTAATCACAATATTATCAATTAAAAAATTGCGATTTATGGCGATTAAATCTCTATGCATCGCAATTTTTTGTTCTATAAAATCGTGATCGCTCCAGAGACCCCGAAGATAAAGCCTATTTTAACTCCATCTCAAGAGAACTAACAAATGAGCTTTGGACTATTAGAAATAATCAACTTGAAAAATTTATTAAAACATTAGATGCCTCACCTGCAACCGACTACTCCCTTTGGAGAGCGATCAGTTACATAAAACGTCCACCACTACATAATGCCCCTTTATTTAATGATAATACAAGGAAATGGGCCAAAACTGACCTCCATAAAGCAAATTTACACGCAACCCACCTCGAAAAAGTATTTAAACCCAATTCACTACCCAATGCTACGAAACGCGATATTCTCCTGCATCTAAATGAAACAGATCTGATAGAAACAGAGCACGAAATACCCCATTTCTCTTTTGGGGAAGTTACCAAATTAATAAGCAAATGCAAAACAAAAAAAGCCCCAGGAAAAGACCAACTTACTGGCCTCATCCTTAAAAAATTACCTGATAAAGCAATTCATAAATTAGTCCAAATTTTTAATGCAATAATCAATCTACAATATGTCCCTAGCAAATTTAAAGAAGCAATAATAATAGTTTTTCATAAAAAAGGCAAACCCGAAAGAAATCCCTCTTCTTATCGTCCAATATCTTTGGTCTCATCCATAGCAAAACTATGGGAAAGACTTTATCTTCCTAGACTATTAAAAGTAATCTTATCTTTCTTACTATAGTAAAAAAAAATAAGGCCTTTTTTGTGTGTACGTCCGTGTCATTTCGCATTCTCATTGGTCTTTCATTAACCAATCAGAAAACGTCATTGAAAATCCCCGGGAAATTTAAAAGTATTCTTCCGTAAAGGAATTATTGATAGGTAGACAGGTATCAAAATGGGATGTATTTCTTCTAATAACCAGGATAAAAGGAAGGATTATTACCTATACAGGATAGTCCTAGAAAAACGGGATGTACCTATATTAATAAACCGGGATAACAGGAAGGATATCGATCATTGTGTATCGAT